CTAATTTTGACCAAACTAGCTACAAAGCATTCTTGGGCAAAAGGTATTCAAGTTTGTTCAAATGAAGGACCACGCCCTCTTTCAAGGGGAAATAATTAAGAAATAGTGAAAATTTGGTGGCATGTTTTAAAATTTTCTTCTCAAGAACAAATGGGCAAGGAAAAAAAACTTATATGGAAACATCCTCAGGTAGTGTTGATTTCAATTTGTTCAAATCATGACCCTGGGGGTAAGGCGGGGCCACAATATAGATGATCAAAGTTTTACATAGAAATACATTGAAAATATCTTTAATTTAGTTCATTTTTGCATACTCAAAATCCAATTCAAACAGTTCTGGATGAAATTAATTCTGAAAACAAAATGAAATACCATTACGGAAAGTTGATTTAAACAATATTTATTCAAAATAATGAATAGATTGGGCAACAGGCAATGCCTATAAATACTCTCTCTATACAAAAATCAAAGTTACAAAATACAATGGACTGAGTGAATATATATTATAATGCGGGTAAACACACACAGACACACATACAGAAACACACACACAGACACGCACAGATCCACATGAATTAAACATAACACATAGTATTAATAAAATATAGTAAAAAATATATATATCAAAAGGAAATGTATTTAAAACGTTTTGTTGACCTAATATATTCTTGTACATAATTTGTAATGTTGATGTTAGTTTGATACGATAACTTCGAACACCCAGGTAAAAGAATCTTTAGTTCATACGGTATACCTAGCTCTTGTAAATTCTTTCTTAGTTCATTTCTTTGTATGCTATATGCTGGACAATTCATAAAATAGTGCTCATTATGGAAAGTTCATTGGTGTTTTAAAAAAGTGATACTCAAAACAATGCATTGAGTAACATGGAAAGCAAATACATATATATATTTGTAACTCTACTGTTTTTATTATCAAAACTTGCTAGGAATATGTATGGTTTATAGCTAATATGGAGCATACCTTTTTATTTTATTGATGCAAACACTTGCTGTCTGAATGAATTGTTCAAATTGTTTGGGAGTAGCTACAACACAATATATATGTAATGAGTGAAATACATAATTATTAATATTGTAGAATGAAATGACATTGCATTGTGCAAAACAAACCATGCTATACTATATTTTCTGAAATTCATAAAATAGATGGAAACAAACTTTTGATACAAAACTTTTCTGGGAAAATTGAAACCTATGACATTTGCAAAAGTAGAATTAGTGGCTATGCTTAATTCAAGTAAAAAAAAAAATCAATATACTAGAGATAACTTTTCTTTCACCTATACAAAATTAAAAAAATAAATAAACACTGGCATAGTATAAAATTAATGTGAAATGCTTTGATGTGATCATACCCAGTGGAGAAATTGATGCATCTACATGTATTTTATAGTTCTGGCTGATGTAAATGCTTTAAAATACATGTATATACATATAAGACTGACTTAATGTACATGTAGTCAGACAAATGAAAATTCAAATATTTTATCTTCATTAATGTAGAAATTCTACAAATTTACAGCCTAGTGATACAGATAGATAAAAGTTCTACGGATGAATTTAAAATATAAAATATAAACATATAAAATATATATAAAATAATATAAAATATATCAAATAAACATATAAAATATAAAATATGAAGCACTGGTAAAAACTGAAATCTTAAAATTCACATATTTTTTATTGCCAGAGGTATAAATTAAAATTTATAGGGTCTTATACTCTTGTATGTACAGTGCACATACATTGTACACTGTGCAGTTTGACTTCACAAATACATTGCAAGTGTGACTGCATCAAAATAATAAATTGATATCATGACATGCTGTGCTTATATTATGTAACATGTTTGTACTGTATGCCAAAGGACAACATCATTGCATGTTTAAAAGTGTGCAACTTTCATAATGTGTGTGTTTGTGTGCACCGCATTACAGTTTGTGACGGATTGTAATAATACATCTTATTGTGCATGTTCACGGTTATTTTACATCAATGTAAAGAATAGTATGTCTACATGTTAATACCTATGCGCATACACACCTTAATGAACAGAAAGGACCGAGGGAGGTAATCCGGATCGTTTCATTTTTCCATGATTTCCCGAAATACTAGTAAGTCATCATCTTCTCATCAAAAAGATAAACAAGGCCTAGGTCTCTTATTTTATCCCTATTCTCTTTAACGATTGACTGATTGTTGCATTTATCCACTGCATATCTCAGCTGCTGTCGCCATGTTTTTCGATGTAAACAACATTCCGTGTCACCGAGTGCAAGCGCTTGACAGAAGCCGAATGCAGCCAAACGACACAATAAAAAGAGAATTATTTCGAAGACGTGTTATTTATATATAAGAGAAAATCACTAATGTTTATTTATTTAAACATGAAAATATAGCCATTCATAACAAATTCTCGCAATCATCATTAAATAGCTTTTTTTGAGCTCTATTTTAGGAATGACTCTAATTCTTGGCCAAATTATTCGAGTATAACCTGGTTTGGGTCAGTTTACGCTTTATAATCCGCGAAGCGGATTATAAAACAGCGTAAACTGACCCAAACCAGGTTATACTCGAATAATTTGGCCAAGAATTAGAGTCATTCCTTATAATTTAATTTTAAAATCATTAAATAACTATGGGTGTAAAATTTCGTTGCTTTTTATTAGTTCAAATTTGCCGCTCAATAATACAACCTTAGTAACGGAAGTGATGGGAAGCGAGGGGAGGTAAAAACTGATACAGAGGCCTAGCAGCCTTGCTGTTTGTTTACATGTGGTAAGATCGAATTATTGTTTGAAGTTAAAGGTACATTTATCAAATCTGGAATTTTCCATGAATCCCGAGGACTGGAAAGGATACAGATGATTCAGCTCGTTGTCAGGGGGGTGTGTCCCCATACCAAACCATGTTATACAGAAATAATTTGCGTAGCTTTTTGGATATTAACCAATCAGAGGTTAGAATACAAACAAAATTAAATTATTTCCTTATATAGATCTATCAAGGCGGAGCAACTGTCATGACGTCAAACCTCATTATGACCTCATTACCATATTATCTTCATGTGAAGCCTTACCTGTACTGCGCACATGCAAATCAAAAAAGCATGGTAAAACTAGTACCGCTGCTGTTATTCGGGAAGGGTGCTTGTAACTTTGTGAGGTTGCAAAAACGTCATCTAGAAATTTTCCAAAGCGGGTGGTCGAGACAAATATGATGGGAAAACAAAAAACAAATGAATTTAGAATGTGTATTTGGGCGAAGTCAATTGGGGTCACCCAGGTTGATTTAGAAAGTATCCCCCCCCCCCCATTATATGCCAATTGGTTTTTTTTTTCAAAAATGTATTGGCATCTAAAGTTTCAATTTTATCAAAATTGACATATTCTTAAATTTCATTTTCTGTTCTGCAACAACATGAACATATTCAACAACTTCCAAACATAAATTTTCTTTACAGAAAAACATTCCCAAAAAACTTTCTTAAAGATAACTCTTAAACAGACTGGTAAATTTAACGAATTTATTATTGAACAACAGCGTGCTAACACAAAAGGCGTTTTGGCCACATGCTCACCTGTGATTTTTTCCTCAATGCATTAATATACCGGGAATTTTATGTAGGTACTGTAGATCACCAAATATTCGCGACACCTTATTTTCGCGAGATATGTAGTTGGTATTTATAAGCGAGAAAAAAAAATTCACGAATTCTGGGTAAAGTTGTATATAACCTTTACTAACAAAAATATGAAATTTTGAACGAATGAAAAATAAGAATGAAATTTTCGCGAGCAGACTGTCTCGCGTAATTACGCAAAAATTAAGTTCTCGCGAATATAAAGTGATTTACAGAAGAAAAAATATGGAATAACTATTGTGTATTCTTCATTACTCAGGTAGAGGTGAGAGTTTAGAGGCAAACACTTATATGCGGGTATTACTGTCTTTTGACAGCATCTAGTTTGTAATTCTTTTTCTTTTTTATTTATTTGTAATTTAATGAATTACATTGGAAAAATACCACGGAATTTCAGTTACTTTTCGATTACATTTAAATTACTCTGCTCACTTCATATTCATAATACATGTATAACAGGAAAACCCTCTTTCTTGATGCCACTAAGCAAGCCACCTGTATAGATTTTTTGAGCAGTGGCTCTTCCGTCAATGAAACATACAATGGTGTACGTAGCAATAGAGCAATATTTAATATACTTGGTCCTATTTTATATGATTATTGAATTAGACATAAAAACAAACAATGTCTTGCAGCTATTGAAGAAAAGAATTACATAACCCGTTCATGCGAATTATGTATTTTTTCTGCACCATTAATTCTCATACTACCAACCAAAGAAAGCATTTTATTGTTTAAATAATCAACATTTGCAATTTACGATGTTGAGCTTACCAACAAATGAAATAATTTAAGGGTGGTTAGTTGTGGCTCATTTACTCTAATGTCTGCTTTTAATCAAATTTTATAAGGTAAGCAATTGGTGTATGTGCACATACAATAGGTTTTGCGTGGAGGATGTTTGTTTGTATGTTGTTTAACGTCCCTCTTGAGAATTTTTCCCTCATATGGAGACGCCACCACTTGCCGATGGAGAGCTGCGAATTTTGTCCTATACTCGGCACTTACGGCCATTGAGCAGTCATGCCAGCACCTACTGCGACACGGGACCTCTGTTTATACGGTCTCATCCGAAGGACCGGTCTCCACGTCCCACAGTGGGATTCGAACCCGCGACGTAAGGATCAACTCCTTACTTCGCGACTCTAGAGCAGACGCTCTAACCACTGCGCCACGCGGGCGACTTTGCGTGGAGGAAACACACCCACATTAAAAATTTAAAAGCTGTCAAATTGATCCCAGATAATGGTATTTTAATTGAAGAAAAAGACAAAGTAATAATAATTTAGTAATTATTTTTTTAATGTTAGTTCCAGAATTTGGTAACATTGAATCTATAAATTGTATTAATTATAATCCATAAATTGATTCATTCCTTCATGTCATACATGCAAAATATGGCAAGGAAGTATATTTACAGATGATATTAAATTTGCAAGGAAATCCCGGCATCCTATCCATGTCTGACTTAAGTCTGCCACACACTCTTCCTGATTACAACCTTGGTTCAAATTATGACTAGAAAACTAGTATTTAAAAAAAGCTACAAGTATATATAACCCAGAAAAGCTCTAAGAAGCATATATTATTTATTCATACATGTATGAATGAAAATAGTTGTTAAAACAAACTGAATACACAGTATCCATCAAAGGCAGAGTATAATTTTCCATTCACTGTTGTTTAAAACTTCCATAAAAAATGTACATAAAATGTTAAAATAATGAAAAATTGCTTCCAATACAAAATGTTATTTGAGTCTGAGTATGAATGTTTGATATGCATTCAATTACTTGAAATTTAGACTGGCTGATTTTCGATTTCAACTGGTGTAACAAGGAAACTAACTGGCTTAGGTAATAGCATAAAAAAGAGGAAAGATAGGAAGGACCACAAATTGAAACTGCAATTCATCGGATGAAAATTCCAGATTCTACTGAAAAGGTCACAGATCCTTAACACAAGGTCACAGATCAATCACTTAAGTTCCCAGATTCTTAACACAAGTTCCGAGATCCTTCACACAAGGTCACAAATCCATGAAACAAGTTCACAGATCCTTCACACAAGGTTACAGACGCTTAAGGTCAGATGAGATGTTCCTCGATAATAAATAATTTTTCCTTATAACTTGTGATTGATATATTGCTACTTTCATAAGCTTGCTCACAAAAAATGATTGAGGTTCATTACCAGACATTTGTGTTGGATACCAGAGGATATTATTACCTATATAATCCTATTGGATATTACTTGAAATCCTGATATCAAATGTTTGTCGTGTTTTATTTTTAAAGACATTCTGATGACAGTCTAGAAATCATAAGATAATAATAATTATAAGTACTTATATATATGACAAGGAAATACAAAATCAGATATTCGAGAAAGGTCTCGTCAGATCTTAACACAAGGTCACTGATCCTTACGCAAGGTCACTGATCCTTTACACAAGTTCACAGATCCTTTATACAAGTTCACAAATCTTGTACACAAGGTTGCAGATCCTTTACACAAGGTCACAAATCCTTTACACAAGGTCACAGATCCTTCATAAAAGATCACAGAAACCTTCAAACAAAGTCAGAATAGAGTTCAACATCTTCAGTAACAAATGTCTCTCCCTACATTTCTATTGCTCCATGACATGAACTTATTCTGATGTGTTGCACATCCTTCTATGCTCCACAAATATCAAGACAGATCAGATGGTTCATTTTGATGTGTTCTATCAAAAAAGAAGCAAAATTGTCAGTCAAATTATAAAATAGGATTTCAAATATACTTTAGCATACAAAAACCAAGCAAGGTTTGTTGAGTTTAAAAAATATATAAAAACCAGCAAGTACATTTAAATATTGAAACGCGAGGAATATAGGACTTTACAGTCAAAGTTTCATTCAGAGTTTCTGAGCCACAATATGTGATCTTTTTTTTTTACGAATATGTAAATCGCTAATTAGTATCCCTTTGTTGCTCTAAAGGGCAATGTTTTAGTCTTTGGATTTATGCTACATAATGATATTTTTGAAATTATCAAATTGATGTCGTATATTAGAGAAGATTTAAATAATATTATTTAATAAGAAGATATAAGTATACTGATTTCCCTCCCTTCCTCTCTCTGATTTGATTATGAAGTATGATATTGACTGCATATGAATTTGACAATTTCTTGAGAGAACAAAATTTTGATTTTTTTTCCTCTTTCATGTTCTTAGGAGAATAAGTTTGAGTTTATTTGATTTTTTACCCCATGAATATTCAATGGCATTGTAGCCTTTGAAAAGAAAAGTTTTAAAGAATCATATACATGTACATCCTTTATATCACTCTACTGATTCTAAGCTACATAAAAAGGTTTGCATGTACACATACATATTTATAGATATTTGACAATTTAGTGTCTTTCTCCTACATATCTATGTAAAACTTTGGAGTCCCTCTCTAGCCTCATCTTTATCCTAGGAGCTAAGGTGTAAACAAACTTGAATTATACTGAATTATACAAAACCATGCCTGCATAAACATTAGGCAATTTGTGACCCCAATGATAGGTTATATTTTCTAACAAGGTCATTATAACGACCAAATAACATATCTTTAGTTCTGTAAGAGGCATGGCTGTGATATTTTAGTTATGTATTGCTTTGCACTATGGAGTTTGTAAAGTATTGTGGATATCGACCTCGTGACCTTTCAACCTGACCTTTGACCTACTTTTCAAAAATAATTCATTATGCCGATATGCAGCATATTTTTGGACATTTAAGAGGTAACTTTGTGCTTTTTATAATGTGCACTGTGTGTTATAAGACAAGAAAAATACAAGCGTTACAGTCCACTTGACCTTGACAATTTCATTATTCATTTTAGCATTGAGGATTGGGGAAGTATATTTCTATTTGATTGTCACACTTTATGATAAATGCTATTCTGATTCTATTGCAGTCTTAATACACGTGGATATCTTTTCTTTGCAGGCAAATGCATGAACTATAATACAAGTATGCAGATAAATAGCTGATCGCTGTTAGATTTATTTATATCTTGATCCTAAAACAGGCGACACGTGCGTTCTTTGAAAGAGTAGTTAAATTTTTCTTCCCTTCAAAGTTATGCCAATGCAAGACATATTTCCACAACTTTGACCTTTCCAAAATTATCATAATTAAAAGTCTAAGTACATCCCTCAAGTAGTCTTATAAAAAATGAGACTGACTCATATTCACATATTCAAATAGTACATATTAATTCTATTAAAAAAAATTGGAGAAAAAATTATTGGTTATAATCGACGAAAAATAAATACTGAGGTTAACAGATCGTTCAACAATGGGATATGAGTCAAATACTACTAGTATATATTAATTCTACCGAAAGTGTAAAAAAAAAAAATTATTGGATACACTTGACAAAAAATATTACAGACAGACAGATCATTAAACATGGGATTTCAGTGTAATTCCTAACATTGTTTTTTTTTTGGGGGGGGGGGGGCATGGGGGTGAAGGGTAATAGAAATTGAGAGTATGCAGGGTGTAAGCATAGAACCTTATGAATTATCATCATTGATTGGCTTGTCTAGTAGTTCCATGAACTCTTCTCGCTTTTACATCTGATCTTGGTCTCATCTTAACCTTGGGATTAAAGACAGTCTTAACATCTGCTTGTTTACAAAGAATATCGAGAATCTAAAGAGTACTTTTATTCTAACAAGATATGAAAAAATACTGCCTTAGAGGGTTGCAGATTTTGAGTGATTCTTTCTTACCCTTACACTTCACAAATTGGCAGCTGTTGACTCCTTCTTAAGATTCAATTCCTAGAAGGTGATCGTCTCCTCTTCACCCTGGAATAAAGGGTTCCGTTCCTTTACTTTGCTTTTATAAGTAAGAAAAAAGATTTTTTTAAAAATGTTGCAATCCTTATTGAAATGAGTCATAAAAAAGAAGAAATGAATCTTACCATTTCTTCCATGGTTGATTAAAGTTGATCCCTGCTCTCGACACTTCTGCTGACAGTGGAGTTATACCTCTCTGTAGGGCCGACGCTTGCCTAACCATTCTGCAATCAACACAGAAAGTCAGGATGTAAATGAAGTACTCTAACTGCTTTTATCCAGCTATTCATAGAATAAAAGCCAGGGAACCAAAAGTGCAACAATGCAGCTCTTTTTACTTATCACTTTTGCAAATGTTACCCACTGGTTATAGCTAGGAATTAGACTCCATTTCTTCTGTTATCCGGTCTTTGTCCTCATCTTTATGTGTCTGCTGCTCCTCTTCTTCTGTTTGTCGACCTTCGTCCTCTTCTTCGTGCGTCCTGCTGCTCCTCTTCTTCTGTTGATCAGCTTTGGTCCTTCTTTTGTTAATGGGTCCTACTGCTCTTCTTCTGTTGTCAGCCTTAGTCATCTCCAGGGATTCTGCTGATCCTCTTCTTCAGCTGGCTGGCCTTGATAGTCCTCCTACACATGGGTCCTCCTGTTCCTCCTCTTCCGTTGGTTGGCCTTAGTCCTCATCTTCATAGGTCCTGTTGCTCTGCATCCTTTCAATTAGAAGTCAGCAAGTCAAATCCTGTCTCAGACAATTTCAATTGAAAAGAAGTTTAGGGAACGCATGCAGGAAGGAGAGCCCAAATCTTCCCATTTCTTTCATTGGTGGCTGCAGTTGAATGGGAGACAAACTCCTCCTCAAGTATGGGATCCAGGTCAGCCTCAATCTCCTTCTGCTAACAAAGCAAATCAAGTAAACAACAAATATAAATACTTTGTATCATGTGAGAAAGAGACACTAAAATGCAAAATGCAAAGAGTAAGTCGAGTTCAAATCTTACCCTCACTTTGGGAATTGGGAGCAGTCGATCCATCCGTTTGCGAATTTTTCTTTTGTATGACGGTTTCCTTTTTTACCTCTTAAGCCATGACAGCCTAATCCTCCTGTTGACAGAAGCAGTCAAATGGTCAATAAATTGCAAAGATTTCCTTAAAACAGAGTACGGAAAGTGGACAGAGTGGAAGGTATGTGGATGGCGTCTTACTTCACGTCTTTTATAGGCGGCAGCCCATCGCTGAACTTTTGCTGGAAGGTGACCGTCTGCTCTTTTACTACAAAACAACACAATACTGATGATGTACCTGTTCAAAAAGATGTCTACAGGTAAAAGCAAATGTAAAGGTTCGCAACACAGAGAGACAGAGTAGGGAAGTCGAAAGAGTGTAAGAAGTACAAATTGCATAGGTTACCGGTACCTGCCTTAATTAGGTTGCCCACAATCCATTCATGAACTCATTAAACATTTTTTGGTCTAGCAGACCACAGACCGATCTTCGTCTTGGGATAGAAAGTATCCTAATCCTGACCTGTTAACATAGAATGTCAAGAAGTCAAAGAAGTGTGTATGGACATGTGAAGTAATATGAAATTATGTTAACAGAGTGCAGGGTGTACACATTGTCTCTTACCGTGGGTTGGCCGCAGTTCATCCCTGAACTCTCAGCAATCTTGCTTTTCAAGTGAAAGTCCTCTCTCTCTAGAGCTGAAGACAGAGAACTGCCTTACAATGCATCTTCAATGTAGGAAGACAACAGTTCAAAAGAGTTCAAAATCTTCATGAAGTGAGAATGACCAGAATCAGCACAATGCATGTCATAACTTAAATTTTACCTTTATTTAAAGGGTTACCTGTGATTGATCCCTAATTCAAAGACACCTGCTAAAAAAAATTGAGTTGTACGTAACAGTAGTAATGATGCTTCCCTAATCATTCCACTGATAACACTGAAAATCTGTAAGTAAAAGGAGCAATAAAAGAGCATTCATCAAAATAAAATGGAATCACAAGTTCAAAAGTGCAATAAAATAAGCTTCTTACTTACCTCTTTCATCAATATTGAGTACTGGGCATAACTGGACAATAGACTTTTCTTCTTCAACATACAATCAATCATTCAATCTTCCGTTGGACGGCATTGGTCCTCCTCCGTCGTCCATCGTCCGAGGCCCTGAAAATATACAACTGACAGAAGATTAGTAAAAAATCAGAATACTGAAGAAGAAAGACACAAATTCGCGTACGCGTAATCATTACATGAAAATTAGAGGAAAAATAAGTTAGCAAATGAAGACAGTTAGGTCAGGAAAGGGTAAAGGGGAGGAAGGGAAGGGGGGGGGGAAGTTAGTTATGTTAGAGATTGAAGGAAATTGGAGAAGACGGAAAATAGACAAAAAGGAAAAAAGAAACAAAAATCCTTCTCTATGAGGCTTCCTGGCTGCGGAATCGGCTCCTAGCGCTCTTCTTCTGACGGGCCCCGTCGGTCTGCATCCTGTCAATTAGAAATCAAGAGGTCAAGGCCTGATAGGGTCAACATCAAATGACATGGTCATGAAAGGATGCAAAAAGTAAAGTTTGAATCTTACCGCATCTTACAGGGGTGGCTGCAGTTGAATGGGAGACAAACTTCGTCTCAAAACGGCATCCGGGTCAGCCTAAACCGTCTTCTGCTAACATATAAAAAAGCAAGATATAAAAGAAAAGCGGAGACTTCATATCAAGTGAGATAGAGTCATGAAATGCACAGAGTGCTAAGAGCAAGTCGAGTTGAAGTCTAACCTTCACTTGGGAGTTAAAATGGAAATGAGGAATTCGAAAGTGCAACAAAAGCAGCTTCTTGCTTACCTCTTTCATCAATATTGGGCACTGGACATAACTGAGCAATGGACTCTTCTTCTTCCGTTGGGCGCCATTGGTCCTCCTCCGTCCTCCATCGTCCGAGGCCCTGAAAATATACAACTGACAGAAGATTAGTAAAAAAATTCAGAATACTGAAGAAGAAAGACACAAATTCGCGTACGCGTAATCATTACATGAAAATTAGAGGAAAAATAAGTTAGCAAATGAAGACAGTTAGGTCAGGAAAGGGTAAATGGGAGGAAGGGAAGGGGGGGGGGGGAGGAAGTTAGTTATGTTAGAGATTGAAGGAAATTGGAGAAGACGGAAAAGAGACAAAAAGGAAAAAAAAAGAAACAAAAATCCTTCTCTATTAGGCTTCCTGGCTGCGGAATCGGCTCCTAGCGCTCTTCTTCTGACGGGCCCCGTCGGTCTGCATCCTGTCAATTAGAAATCAAGAGGTCAAGGCCTGATAGGGTCAACATCAAATGACATGGTCATGAAAGGATGCAAAAAGTAAAGTTTGAATCTTACCGCATCTTACAGGGGTGGCTGCAGTTAAATGGGAGACAAACTTCGTCTCAAGACGGCATCCGGGTCAGCCTAAACCGTCTTCTGCTAACATACAAAAAAGCAAGATATAAAAGAAAAGCGGAGACTCATATCAAGTGAGATAGAGTCATGAAATGCACAGAGTACTAAGAGCAAGTCGAGTTGAAGTCTAACCTTCACTTGGGAGTTAAAATGGAAATGAGGAAGTCGAAAGTGCAACAAAAGCAGCTTCTTGCTTACCTCTTTCATCAATATTGGGCACTGGACATAACTGAGCAATGGACTCTTCTTCTTCCGTTGGGCGCCATTGGTCCTCCTCCGTCCTCCATCGTCCGAGGCCCTGAAAATATACAACTGACAGAAGATTAGTAAAAAAATTCAGAATACTGAAGAAGAAAGACACAAATTCGCTTACGCGTAATCATTACATGAAAATTAGAGGAAAAATAAGTTAGCAAATGAAGACAGTTAGGTCAGGAAAGGGTAAATGGGAGGAAGGGAAGGGGGGGGGGGGAGGAAGTTAGTTATGTTAGAGATTGAAGGAAATTGGAGAAGACGGAAAAGAGACAAAAAGGAAAAAAAAAGAAACAAAAATCCTTCTCTATTAGGCTTCCTGGCTGCGGAATCGGCTCCTAGCGCTCTTCTTCTGACGGGCCCCGTCGGTCTGCATCCTGTCAATTAGAAATCAAGAGGTCAAGGCCTGATAGGGTCAACATCAAATGACATGGTCATGAAAGGATGCAAAAAGTAAAGTTTGAATCTTACCGCATCTTACAGGGGTGGCTGCAGTTAAATGGGAGACAAACTTCGTCTCAAGACGGCATCCGGGTCAGCCTAAACCGTCTTCTGCTAACATACAAAAAAGCAAGATATAAAAGAAAAGCGGAGACTCATATCAAGTGAGATAGAGTCATGAAATGCACAGAGTACTAAGAGCAAGTCGAGTTGAAGTCTAACCTTCACTTGGGAGTTAAAATGGAAATGAGGAAGTCGAAAGTGCAACAAAAGCAGCTTCTTGCTTACCTCTTTCATCAATATTGGGCACTGGACATAACTGAGCAATGGACTCTTCTTCTTCCGTTGGGCGCCATTGGTCCTCCTCCGTCCTCCATCGTCCGAGGCCCTGAAAATATACAACTGACAGAAGATTAGTAAAAAATCAGAATACTGAAGAAGAAAGACACAAATTCGCGTACGCGTAATCATTACATGAAAATTAGAGGAAAAATAAGTTAGCAAATGAAGATTAGGTCAGGAAAGGGTAAATGGGAGGAAGGGAAGGGGGGGGAGGAAGTTAGTTATGTTAGAGATTGAAGGAAATTGGAGAAGACGGAAAAGAGACAAAAAGGAAAAAAAAGAAACAAAAATCCTTCTCTATTAGGCTTCCTGGCTGCGGAATCGGCTCCTAGCGCTCTTCTTCTGACGGGCCCCGTCGGTCTGCATCCTGTCAATTAGAAATCAAGAGGTCAAGGCCTGATAGGGTCAACATCAAATGACATGGTCATGAAAGGATGCAAAAAGTAAAGTTTGAATCTTACCGCATCTTACAGGGGTGGCTGCAGTTAAATGGGAGACAAACTTCGTCTCAAGACGGCATCCGGGTCAGCCTAAACCGTCTTCTGCTAACATACAAAAAAGCAAGATATAAAAGAAAAGCGGAGACTCATATCAAGTGAGATAGAGTCATGAAATGCACAGAGTACTAAGAGCAAGTCGAGTTGAAGTCTAACCTTCACTTGGGAGTTAAAATGGAAATGAGGAAGTCGAAAGTGCAACAAAAGCAGCTTCTTGCTTACCTCTTTCATCAATATTGGGCACTGGACATAACTGAGCAATGGACTCTTCTTCTTCCGTTGGGCGCCATTGGTCCTCCTCCGTCCTCCATCGTCCGAGGCCCTGAAAATATACAACTGACAGAAGATTAGTAAAAAATCAGAATACTGAAGAAGAAAGACACAAATTCGCGTACGCGTAATCATTACATGAAAATTAGAGGAAAAATAAGTTAGCAAATGAAGACAGTTAGGTCAGGAAAGGGTAAATGGGAGGAAGGGAAGGGGGGGGAGGAAGTTAGTTATGTTAGAGATTGAAGGAAATTGGAGAAGACGGAAAAGAGACAAAAAGGAAAAAAAAGAAACAAAAATCCTTCTCTATTAGGCTTCCTGGCTGCGGAATCGGCTCCTAGCGCTCTTCTTCTGACGGGCCCCGTCGGTCTGCATCCTGTCAATTAGAAATCAAGAGGTCAAGGCCTGATAGGGTCAACATCAAATGACATGGTCATGAAAGGATGCAAAAAGTAAAGTTTGAATCTTACCGCATCTTACAGGGGTGGCTGCAGTTAAATGGGAGACAAACTTCGTCTCAAGACGGCATCCGGGTCAGCCTAAACCGTCTTCTGCTAACATACAAAAAAGCAAGATATAAAAGAAAAGCGGAGACTTCATATCAAGTGAGATAGAGTCATGAAATGCACAGAGTACTAAGAGCAAGTCGAGTTGAAGTCTAACCTTCACTTGGGAGTTAAAATGGAAATGAGGAATTCGAAAGTGCAACAAAAGCAGCTTCTTGCTTACCTCTTTCATCAATATTGGGCACTGGACATAACTGAGCAATGGACTCTTCTTCTTCCGTTGGGCGCCATTGGTCCTCCTCCGTCCTCCATCGTCCGAGGCCCTGAAAATATACAACTGACAGAAGATTAGTAAAAAAATTCAGAATACTGAAGAAGAAAGACACAAATTCGCGTACGCGTAATCATTACATGAAAATTAGAGGAAAAATAAGTTAGCAAATGAAGACAGTTAGGTCAGGAAAGGGTAAATGGGAGGAAGGGAAGGGGGGGGAGGAAGTTAGTTATGTTAGAGATTGAAGGAAATTGGAGAAGACGGAAAAGAGACAAAAAGGAAAAAAAAAGAAACAAAAATCCTTCTCTATTAGGCTTCCTGGCTGCGGAATCGGCTCCTAGCGCTCTTCTTCTGACGGGCCCCGTCGGTCTGCATCCTGTCAATTAGAAATCAAGAGGTCAAGGCCTGATAGGGTCAACATCAAATGACATGGTCATGAAAGGATGCAAAAAGTAAAGTTTGAATCTTACCGCATCTTACAGGGGTGGCTGCAGTTGAATGGGAGACAAACTTTGTCTCAAGACGGCATCCGGGTCAGCCTAAACCGTCTTCTGCTAACATACATAAAAGCAAGATATAAAAGAAAAGTGGAGACTTCATATCCAGTGAGATAGAGTCATGAAATGCACAGAGTGCTAAGAGCAAGTCGAGTTGAAGTCTAACCTTCACTTGGGAGTTAAAATGGAAATGAGGAATTCGAAAGTGCAACAAAAGCAGCTTCTTGCTTACCTCTTTCATCAATATTGGGCACTGGACATAACTGAGCAATGGACTCTTCTTCTTCCGTTGGGCGCCATTGGTCCTCCTCCGTCCTCCATCGTCCGAGGCCCTGAAAATATACAACTGACAGAAGATTAGTAAAAAATCAGAATACTGAAGAAGAAAGACACAAATTCGCGTACGCGTAATCATTACATGAAAATTAGAGGAAAAATAAGTTAGCAAATGAAGACAGTTAGGTCAGGAAAGGGTAAAGGGGAGGAAGGGAAGGGGGGGGAGGAAGTTAGTTATGTTAGAGATTGAAGGAAATTGGAGAAGACGGAAAAGAGACAAAAAGGAAAAAAAGAAACAAAAATCCTTCTCTATTAGGCTTCCTGGCTGCGGAATCGGCTCCTAGCGCTCTTCTTCTGACGGGCCCCGTCGGTCTGCATCCTGTCAATTAGAAATCAAGAGGTCAAGGCCTGATAGGGTCAACATCAAATGACATGGTCATGAAAGGATGCAAAAAGTAAAGTTTGAATCTTATCGCATCTTACAGGGGTGGCTGCAGTTGAATGGGAGACAAACTTCGTCTCAAGACGGCATCCGGGTCAGCCTAAACCGTCTTCTGCTAACATACAAAAAAGCAAGATATAAAAGAAAAGCGGAGACTTCATATCAAGTGAGATAGAGTCATGAAATGCACAGAGTGCTAAGAGCAAGTCGAGTTGAAGTCTAACCTTCACTTGGGAGTTAAAATGGAAATGAGGAATTCGAAAGTGCAACAAAAGCAGCTTCTTGCTTACCTCTTTCATCAATATTGGGCACTGGACATAACTGAGCAATGGACTCTTCTTCTTCCGTTGGGCGCCATTGGTCCTCCTCCGTCCTCCATCGTCCGAGGCCCTGAAAATATACAACTGACAGAAGATTAGTAAAAAAATTCAGAATACTGAAGAAGAAAGACACAAATTCGCGTACGCGTAATCATTACATGAAAATTAGAGGAAAAATAAGTTAGCAAATGAAGACAGTTAGGTCAGGAAAGGGTAAAGGGGAGGAAGGGAAGGAGGGGGGAGGAAGTTAGTTATGTTAGAGATTGAAGGAAATTGGAGAAGACGGAAAAGAGACAAAAAGGAAAAAAAAGAAACAAAAATCCTTCTCTATTAGGCTTCCTGGCTGCGGAATCGGCTCCTAGCGCTCTTCTTCTGACGGGCCCCGTCGGTCTGCATCCTGTCAATTAGAAATCAAGAGGTCAAGGCCTGATAGGGTCAACATCAAATGACATGGTCATGAAAGGATGCAAAAAGTAAATTTGAATCTTATGGCATCTTACAGGGGTGGCTGCAGTTGAATGGGAGACAAACTTCGTCTCAAGACGGCATCCGGGTCAGCCTAAACCGTCTTCTGCTAACATACAAAAAAGCAAGATATAAAAGAAAAGCGGAGACTTCATATCAAGTGAGATAGAGTCATGAAATGCACAGAGTGCTAAGAGCAAGTCGAGTTGAAGTCTAACCTTCACTTGGGAGTTAAAATGGAAATGAGGAATTCGAAAGTGCAACAAAAGCAGCTTCTTGCTTACCTCTTTCATCAATATTGGGCACTGGACATAACTGAGCAATGGACTCTTCTTCTTCCGTTGGGCGCCATTGGTCCTCCTCCGTCCTCCATCGTCCGAGGCCCTGAAAATATACAACTGACAGAAGATTAGTAAAAAATCAGAATACTGAAGAAGAAAGACACAAATTCGCGTACGCGTAATCATTACATGAAAATTAGAGGAAAAATAAGTTAGCAAATGAAGACAGTTAGGTCAGGAAAGGGTAAAGGGGAGGAAGGGAAGGGGGGGGAGGAAGTTAGTTATGTTAGAGATTGAAGGAAATTGGAGAAGACGGAAAAGAGACAAAAAGGAAAAAAAGAAACAAAAATCCTTCTCTATTAGGCTTCCTGGCTGCGGAATCGGCTCCTAGCGCTCTTCTTCTGACGGGCCCCGTCGGTCTGCATCCTGTCAATTAGAAATCAAGAGGTCAAGGCCTGATAGGGTCAACATCAAATGACATGGTCATGAAAGGATGCAAAAAGTAAAGTTTGAATCTTATCGCATCTTACAGGGGTGGCTGCAGTTGAATGGGAGACAAACTTCGTCTCAAGACGGCATCCGGGTCAGCCTAAACCGTCTTCTGCTAACATACAAAAAAGCAAGATATAAAAGAAAAGCGGAGACTTCATATCAAGTGAGATAGAGTCATGAAATGCACAGAGTGCTAAGAGCAAGTCGAGTTGAAGTCTAACCTTCACTTGGGAGTTAAAATGGAAATGAGGAATTCGAAAGTGCAACAAAAGCAGCTTCTTGCTTACCTCTTTCATCAATATTGGGCACTGGACATAACTGAGCAATGGACTCTTCTTCTTCCGTTGGGCGCCATTGGTCCTCCTTCGTCCTCCATCGTCCGAGGCCCTGAAAATATACAACTGACAGAAGATTAGTAAAAAATCAGAATACTGAAGAAGAAAGACACAAATTCGCGTACGCTAATCATTACATGAAAATTAGAGGAAAAATAAGTTAGCAAATGAAGACAGTTAGGTCAGGAAAGGGTAAAGGGGAGGAAGGGAAGGGGGGGAGGAAGTTAGTTATGTTAGAGATTGAAGGAAATTGGAGAAGACGGAAAAGAGACAAAAAGGAAAAAAAGAAACAAAAATCCTTCTCTATTAGGCTTCCTGGCTGCGGAATCGGCTCCTAGCGCTCTTCTTCTGACGGGCCCCGTCGGTCTGCATCCTGTCAATTAGAAATCAAGAGGTCAAGGCCTGATAGGGTCAACATCAAATGACATGGTCATGAAAGGATGCAAAAAGTAAAGTTTGAATCTTACCGCATCTTACAGGGGTGGCTGCAGTTGAATGGGAGACAAACTTCGTCTCAAGACGGCATCCGGGTCAGCCTAAACCGTCTTCTGCTAACATACAAAAAAGCAAGATATAAAAGAAAAGCGGAGACTTCATATCAAGTGAGAAAGAGTCATGAAATGCACAGAGTGCTAAGAGCAAGTCGAGTTGAAGTCTAACCTTCACTTGGGAGTTAAAATGGAAATGAGGAGTTCGAAAGTGCAACAAAAACAGCTTCTTGCTTACCTCTTTCATCAATATTGGGCACTGGACATAACTGGGCAATGGACTCCTCTTCTTCTGTTCTGCGACGGACTTCTCTTCTGTCGTTGGGCGACCGACTCCTCTTCCTCCGTTTGCGACCTTGGTCCTCCTCCCATCGTCCATCATCCGAGGCTCTGAAATATACAAGTGACAGAAGATTAGTTAAAAATCAGAACAATGCAGAAAAATGACAAAAATTCGCGTACACGTAATCATTACATGAAAATTAGAAATCAAGAGGTCAAGGCCTGGTAGGGTCTACATAAATTGACTTGGTCATATGGGAGATTAAGGTAAAAATATTGACGCGGTTGATAAATTCTCATCAAATAATGTATAAGTACGTTAGGTTTCATAAAAATATCTTAGAATAGTTTCTTTGAAACTGATCTGAACACAAATTTAAGAAATGTGAATCTAAATTAAAGGAAAGGTCAACGTAAAAAATGTTGATGAAGTTGAATAGGTGTATCAACAAATGAAGTTTGATAGAAAATATGTTGATTTGTTTCTTTGCAACTTAGCAAAACAAATACTTGAAATCCAGATGAAAGGAAAGGTCAAGATCAATAATGTTGACTGAGTTGTGTAGATATCACCAATATGAATCAACATATTAGTTTTGATTAAAACATCTTGAATAGTTTCTTTGAAACTGAGCTTAACACCAATTTAAGAAGTGATCTCTAGGTCAAAGAAAAGGTCATGTCAAAAGATGTTGATGAAGTGAAATAGTTCTGACCAGTGTGTATCAGCAAATAAGGTTTGATAAAAATATCTTGAAAAGTTTCATTGAAACTGAGCGAAATACTTAATTTTAAAACCTGATGTCAAGGTCAAGGGAAAGGTCAAGGTAGAAAATCTTGATGCAGTTGAATACTTCTCAAGCAAGATAGTGTACTAGTTATTGTACATTTCGCAAGCAAATTCAATATAACATTAAAATGCATATTTTTCCTCCTTTTGAATTATTTTTTTTCTTGAAATCTTCAAAGTTAGTGATGTAACTGTCTAAGGCCTGTCCGCCATTTTACCCAGACTTGTTTCACGGTAAGTACGAGTGCTCTTTTTTGCAGCGATTTTGGAGGGTGGGTGGGGGCTGTTGAAGCGGTATCAATTGCTACTCAAAATGAAAAAAAAATATAATTTTATTTTACTTTCTTGAACGAATATACATGTATTCTTAACGTAATGCAATTATTTACCCGCCTACGTATTCTGAGTAAAATTTTATGTTTTTACTTATTTTTTGGCAATTGCAAAATACACTGAAATTAACTCAGATTTACCTGTATAAAGCAACGCAACTCACGAGTGATCTCTTGGCTTACATTCAACATATCGAGACCACTGGATTTTCTGCTGTCAACATAATTTTGCATGTTAAATTAGCTGTTTTCTCAACTGACCAATCAATTCAATGAGTTGTATGAGGCGCAGTTTTGGTATTTATTGCCATTTAGTGATATAAACTATTCGAATAGGTAATATTATTTATTAGAATTGAATAAGTGATATCACCTACTTAGTATTTGAATGGGTGATATCACCTATTCGTTTTGAATTTGTAATATCACTTATACGAATGGGTGATATCACCTATTCGCGTTTCTTACAACATTATAAATCATGAATGGTCCCTTCTTCAAGACAATCTAGCTTCAATCCAAAGTAAAGGAATGACATTTTAAAAAATCATTCGAAGAACAACTTTAGCACTGATTCAAAAAGGAAATTGATTTCTTTACTGTACAAACTTTTTATAAAGCTTATAAAAGATTCTCTAGACTTGTTGAACTTAATTTGAGCCATATTCTCTACTATTTCAACATGGATTGACCAAATAAACTAAAGATTTGGCCATTGGACCCCTGACAAATTTCATTTGATATTTTACGGGCTTACGTCTCTCATTGAGAAGCACCAATCAAATCAGGGCTTTCATAAGTTGACATAAAATGTAAACAGAAAGTTAGCAGTTGACATCTCAATGCAAGTATTACAGGTTGTTCGTCGCCGAAAGGTTTAATGTGATTTGTCGAGAGTTAAATCAAGATTTGTATTTTTTCCCGAAAGACGCCGCTGCAAGTCAGTCCGTTAAATATCGAGTGAAATTTGTCAGGAGTCCAATGGCCACGAGTAGACGCAGGACCCCTTACGTTGGGAGGATGATTCGGGCCATAAATTCACGAGTAACACCTTTTAAACTATATGCGATACATTTCTCTTTTATTACTTCACAATAAGCCTCTCTGCGTATATGCACATTTCACTTTAATCAAATCAAAAAAAAATTCCATAATTTTAATATTTTTAATTTGTTTTACAGAATTATATATCAAGATTTTTTCTTGACTGATTTCAATATGTTTGTTTTCATTAAGGGTCTAGATTACTATTCGTTTCGCGGAATTACTGCTGCATCTTTAGTATGTCGTCAACATCCACTTTTTCAAGTTTAATTAAATATGTCCTAATAACTATCATTAACACAAACACACACACACACACACACACACACACACACATACACACACACACAAAGTTGGAATTTGGAGGGCTTTAACCGGAGACTCTAAACACAAAAAAAGTTGTTTACTATAAGGCTACGCACACTGCTAAGAAATCTTGCGTCTTTTGTATATTTATAGTCCCGTGTTAGTCTTTTGGAAAATAGGATAGCTGACGTGTATAATAGGTTTTTAATTTGAAGACCTAGTTAAACCAAAAAGATTTAAATATAGCAGAATACTATGATATCAAAAGAACATAACACATGCAAGATTTCTATGGTTTTAAGTTGGTTCAAATACACAAATGTGTCTTTTTTCAATGCTCACTCAATAGATCTGCATATATCAAGCATGCAAAATCTGTAAATTTCATTGATATTGTTTCAGATGATTATGGCATTATCTTTGCCAGTACTGGTATAATTTTGTATTTGTTTACAGCTAGATTTACTAAATATCGTAAAATATTGAAATACATTATGTTGGATGTTTATAAATGCTCTATATCGCAGGCCATGTCATATACTAAGTGCGCTATACCCCTGGTTTATGAAGCCTTATATCAACTTGTTAAAGCTGATGTGAACTCTTAAATATGCGTTATTTTCATTCTTGTACTATTTATTTCATTCCTGTACGCTATTTTCTGCCATTGTTCTTTCAGATACTCTGCCTTATTCTACCTGCAATATAAATCCTGATGCATTTATTACATTTGCATGATTTTCTGGCCTGACTGTCGACATGTACACATCCCCGATAGCAAAGTTTTTAACCCTCCATGAATAGACCAGAAACATGTTTTAAACGTAAAAATCCAACCAACAGGACCAGTAAGAAGTAAATAAATTTTGAATACTTGCTATGTAGAACACTCAAAACGGCACATGCATGTTTAATGCACATAAATATTTGAACATCACCATAAAATGGTGGCCATGCATTTTTCCCAGTTACACCGTATGCACTGTTACAATTAGAGCTCTATGCTTACTAAACGGTATACGCCCATTTTATGCATTCATGTAATATAAATTCAGAGAAAGTGCATGCCGAGAAAACGCGTCGAACGCTGTAACGCATGTCTACCTGACATACTACTATCGGCCCAAGGATATGCACATGTCGAATTACATCATTTTTCCTTTTATTGAAATATGCATCACAGAAGAAAGAACTCCGTTAAGGGGGCTCTCTACAACGTCACAACATGGCGTACTTCCTTTTGAAACGCCATTTTGGTCCGAAATGAACTGATTCTGTCCTAAACAAATTCACAGAACACCGATAAATCACCGGGTATAACACAACTTGCGAGCTGTATACTAGCTCTATTTTGAATGGAATCTAAGACTATCCCATCGAGGCGACGAGAGTGGCCAATGTACCTTTCATTAAACATGAATTGTTTGTCAATATATTCAGTTTCAACTTTTTTATTCATAAACAATATAATTTATTAAAATAAAATATGATTAGAAGTAATAAAAAGTTAATATGATAAACCAAAGCCTTGTCACCATGATATTTGATCACTGCGTGTCAAACCCACTCATATGTTTCCATAAAGTCCTAAATTGATGCTTCTCTCCAAAAGCATATGTTTCCAGCGAAATATATCCAAAAATGAAAATTTAAACAGATAAAGCATATGTATCACCTTCCCATCGCCTGGAGGAGACACCCTGTTCCCAACAAGTATACACCCCGCATGTGTGGTTATACCCGGTGAAATTGAAACTTTTCGTGAAATCACCAAAACGCTTCGATAATAAGTGGAATTATATTAACTCAAACGTTTGATCAACATCGATTATCAGCTGTTTTGTATCGAAAACGTGCACTCGGTGCAGATTTGAAACAAAGTATAAAGGAATTTCGTTATACGAATTTCTTTAACACGCTTTTGACCATTTACGTGTCATGTCATCCGTAGCACTGGATAATACATGTACATACAAGTTGGATGAAAACGGTAAGTAAATCTATCTTTCTCAATACTATGAATTCCCTTTACATGTTTTGATAGAAATTACGTGTGGGTCTTCGCTTAAATTCATTCAAAAACAATACGAACTTCTTTCGATGTCCTAGTTCGGCATGTACCTGTTAATTCTTTTTTTTTCAATACCTGTGCAAGTTTTAGAAGAATTAGATTAATATATTTGAGCTCACTCTCTAAACGGATCTTGACACCTAATTTTTTGTGATGGTTAAAATTTTCGTCAACTTTTGAATTTCATTCAATTTCTTTTTTCATCCTTTGATATTATATCTATTGTCAGATTTTGCAGGAAATCCAACCAGTTCTTCTCATGAAAATGCTGTTTTAGTTTTTCTTTTGTCTATTATTGTAAATTCAAATAAAAATTATGTAGATTTCATTTATAACTTTGTTGGTTTTCATTTCAAGATTTTATAAAATTAAACTTTGAATAGAAAATTAAAGCATAAGGCTTTTAAAAATAAAGAATCAAGGGGTTTCTACAAAATAAATTAAATATTTTAAATATTTCCAAAAAATAAAGTTGAAAACTTTGTAGCTTTATTTTATTGGATATTGAATCTATTATTAGAAACAAATGCATGAAACAAAAATCATTTACACTTCATAGGTGTAG